GATCCATGAGAAAAGAATAGGAGGAAACTGGCATCTAATCTATCATCTCCGAGTAGACTTTCCGATCCACACACAGAAAATCAATTTCCCAAGACAATCAGCGATCGGAGTCTCTAATCAAACGATCAACTAATTGCGGGTCAATATCTACATACATATGTATATCCATCGTGTGTTCGTATCTATGAGATAATCGACACCTGCGACGACACCACGACCTGACTTCATTCGATTCGATTTGACTTGTCTTCTTTCACTTTGATTGACATGCTTTTTGGGTTATGGCAAATTGATTTCTTTATTTCTCGCTCTCCGAGTGAGTTATAAAATGCGAGTTGCGACCGGGCCGGCAATTATATCAGCCAGCCAACGGTAAACGCGCGCACCATCCATCGTCCGTCGTCCATCGTCCGTAGTCCATCGTCCACCGTCCACCGTCCGATCAATTAATTAAGAAACGGGGCGAATGCATCGGCATCGCCATCGGCATATCGCCATCGGTTGTTTTTGGCTCAGGCACCGGGGATTACAGCATAAAATATAGTTCAGATAACTTTCAAATACAAAAAATACAAGAAATACAAAAAAATACCAAAAATACATAAAAGAAAGACAACAAAAAACTAAAGGAAAACATTGCATTGTTGTGGGGCACTTAATCGCTTGCCACAGACACAAAATCCTAACGGTTCCTCCTCTCGCCCCGTTCCCCCCATTCACTTTTCATAGGAAACCCCGAAACCCCGAAACTTCAGTCGAAGTTGAAGTCGAATTTGAATTTCTAATCGAAACAAATGCTTTATGGTCGTCTTATTATTATCATTATTCAGATTTGTGGAGCTTAAACGATTTCGTAATCTTTTTCTTTTTTTTTTTTTTGTTTTTTCTGTGAGCATTTCGCTTTTACACCTCGGAATCTCTTGGTGTCTCTCCAATCTCCATCTTCCATCTCCATCTCGATCTCGATCTCCATCTCTGGGTCTTTGCCTTTCGGGTTCATTGTCAGAATCGACCGAGTGACTTTTGGACGGACCGGTTTGTTGTTTGATTCGTTGACGGTTGACGGTGAAATTTATGATGCATAATATTTGTTTTATTTGCCATTGTTCACGCTCATAGCGCCCATATACATGTACGCACTCGTGGGCTGCACTCCGGGGAAAGAGTTTCGAAAAGAGTTTTCGTAGATAACGCACGGAGGAGATGCAATTCCCAGAAAGCCACAAGAAAACACAGTCCAAGTGGTTCCCAGAATCCCACTTCGAAGTCCGAAAGGGGAGTAAACGGAGTAAATTCACCCGATCCGTGTTCATCCGTGGGTTCACCCATTCATTGCAGATTATTGCCCATCCCATTAGGTTTTCTTCGAGTCAAAGGTCACACTTGGAAGTTAGGGTTCACTGTGAGGCTTCTGCAGGGCGAAAGATGATTGACTTGACTATTCGAATGGAGCTCCACTTTGGAGCAGACAAATGAATCGCTCGAATGATGGATTCCCTACGTTAGATTTCCATACGAAACCCACACACACATCTGCTTCCAGGAACAACCTCCATTCGGAGCGCTTCTTACAGGGTTTTTCTTTCTTTCTTGCTCCAGTTTCAGTTTCACGGCCCAAAAGATCTCATCTTTTTCGGTTTCTGGTGGGCTTTCCGTGGGGTGGGGAGGGAGAGTTTTGGTGGCTCCAACCAGTAACCAGTAACTGTGTTAATTATTTTCTTTCGAGCGCTTGCCAGAGGTCAGGAGTCACCGACCCTCAGACATTGACCCCCACCTTCTGCGAGGCCCGCGGCGATCGTCGAACGACAAGTTTCGAGCTTTGTTTTTTGTTTGTTTTAAGAGTATCTTCAATGGTGTTTCTTTTATTATTTTTTCTCATTTTTGGCGTACTTTGCGTGTGTGTCCGTCTCTCAGTCGCTCTGAAGCACTCCCTACGGTTTTTATTCATCTTTTCTTTGCCTTTCCTTTGGTTTTTGGATGCATGTAATTACAGTCAGACGGTGGGTGGGGGAGGAAGAGAACCAGCCCTCTCTCTTCACAAAATATCTTCTATCATAAGTATCTCTTGGCTTTGGGGCTCTAACAAGATCAGGTAGCTGTCTGTCTGTCCGTCTGTCTGTCAGTCTGTCTGTCAGACAGACTCTGTACCCTTTCCTCCATAATTATGGTCATTATTTTCGGGTTTTTGGTGTGGGATTTATGTACATTTGTTTGACTGAAAAGTGCATTAAATAAAGCCATTCATTAGGCATTTGACAAAGCGGCTTTCAGGCTTTCAGGCTTCCAGGATCAACGCTTGGGTGTCGGTTTTTGTGTATTTTATTTGCATTTTCTGTGTACCGGTTTGCCCGTCCCGGCCATTTTACTTTCAATAGCAAAACGTGAACATTTTACTACAAGTCCGACAAAATGCCGTTGTCGGACGTCTCCCGTCGCATGTCCGGCGTGTCCGCGGTGTCCGCGGTGTCCGCTGTGTCCGCAATGCAGAAAAAAGCAAAATTTTAATAGACTAAAAAACAACTGCAACAAAATGATGCGTCAAATTCTAACCGGTTTCGGTTTCGATTACGATCTCGGTCTCGGTTTCGGCGTTTTTTCTTATTTTTATTTTTAGTTGGGGGTTTTTCTAAATACGAAACGAATCGGAGGAAAAAGTTGAGCAGGACCAAGGCCTGGCCCTTTCCCTGGCCTTTACTCTTTACGGAACTGAGGCCTAACCTATCCATCCGTTTGGCTGGCTGACCCACGAGATCCCATCATGGAGTGATCTTCAGCTTGGCCTGAATCGCATCGGGGAGATCCTCAAGCTCAATCTTCTGCCATGGCCAATCATCAGCCGGTCTCAATCACTTGACCATGTCTGCCCCTTTGCCCCCTGCCCCCTGCCCCCTCAATCCACTCCACTCCGCTCCGCTCCACTCCATTGTTCGTCGTCCATCGTCTGTCGTCATCTTGGAACCGCTGTCCATTGCAATTCTTGAGGCATTTTTCGTTCGTTTCCATTTATTTGGGTCACGGACAGTCATCTCTGCCCCACTCTACTCTGTCTGCCTCTGACTCTGCCTCTGCCACTGAGTGTGTTCTCTACAGGTTTTTCGACTTTTACTTGCAACTGGGAACTGGCATTGAATGTTGAATGTTGACTGTCGTGTGGCTGGCTCTTTTGGATGTCGGTGGTTCCGTGTTTCTTCTCTTGAAACAAAACCGAAAATTCATTTTTTAATTGTTTTCTTTTTCCTCGCTGTTCTCATCTCATCTCACTTCGGCCATGCTGTTGATTAAGCTGTAAAAACAGCTGTTATATTTATGCTGCTGTCGGGCTGTCTGGCTGTCTGGCTGTTTGTCTTTTGGTCGCTTGTCGTGTTATTCTGCTGTCACTTGTCACCTGATAAGACAAGGTTTTGGACGCCGTGCATTTTCCCTATCATCCCTTCCACCATATGCACAGTCTGCACAGACTATAAGTAGTCCCTATCTGAGTCCCTGTCGTTCTATCCTCACATATTCTGGCAGTCCAAGATCATCCTATATCGCACACCTTCCTTGGGAGATCTATTATTGGGAAATTGATGTTTTCCGGTTGGTCAGAAAAACCAACAAATTTTGGATAATAGTGGATTGTTGATCTTTTAAATTAAATTCTATCAATTAGGGTATCTAATAGTTCGGTTCCCTATCTCTCTCTCTCTCTCTCTGTCTCCCTAATCGTCTTTCCTAATCGTTTTGAAACAGATTGTTTATCGAACTTGACATTTCTGGCACACTTTTTGGCTTGATGGGAGGTAACGCCGTCGTCCGCAGCTTCTCCAATCTTCTTAGCAGATCTTCTTGCTAGATCTTCTTAAAGGCAGGAGGGAGATTGGAGTCGGGAGGTGGGGGGTGGGGGGTGCAAACAAAACAATAGAAAAGAAAAGAAAATTTCACTGCTGCGGCCATGACTGGGCGATTGCACTCCGTACAAAAAAGATCACCATGGGGCTGCTGGCTCCCAAAAAAACACTCCACACTCCACGTAGGTTTGGTGGGGATGGGGATGGGGATGGGGGCTACGCGGCGGCACTGAAAATGGCAACTGTGCAAATAGCGAGGACAACAACAACAACATCAACAAAACAACAGAGAAACAGACAAAAACAAAACCAACAATGGTACACGCGTGGGTGGAGAGGGGGTGGTTGAAGACTGCAGAGTGGGAGAAGGAGAGCAAATAACATAAAAGTACAAAAAAAAAAAAAGAAAAAAGAAAGAAAGAAAGAAAGAAAGAAGCAGCAGAAGAAGATGATGAGAAGGAACAACAAAAACATGTAAATGGAAAACCAAACAAAATCGTTTGATGTACAATGAGGACGTTGTTGTTTCTCTCTGTCTCTCTCTTTGGTGCTGCTATTGTTTCTCCTCTTCCTCTTCCCTTTCTTTACGCTGCTGTTGTTGTTCTTGTTGTTTTTGTGGGTTGAAATAGTGGAGAATCAGTGAGTGGAACGTCACGGCAGAAGCACAAGAACAGCAGCAGCGCAGCCTCAGCCTCAGCTTCAGCTTCAGCCTCAGCGTCGACGTCGGCAGCATGCGGGGGCGGCGTGCGCCAGAGTTCAATGCACAGGGGAGGAGGAGGTACAGAAGGAAAGCCCATGAAAACAGGATCGAGAGACACAAACGGAAGGATCATCCCGATCATAATGAAACCAGGAAAACAGACCCAAATAGAAGGCTCTTTCTAGTAAAAAAAAAAAGAACGAGAATCCCCGATCACGGGAGGAACAGAAACAGGCCCCATGGAGGAGAATCTTCGATCAAATGTGTCCACGAGGAGAGCTTTTGCGATACATTTGTTTTCGTTCACACTTTTCACAGGGTCACCCCTATCACTTATCACTGTACGGGTGGGTGCCAAGCAGCTACCACTGTACTGGTACTGGTTCTGGCCCCAGCGAGGGTTCTGTTCTTCCTTAGCATTTATCACTGTACGGTGTACGATATACGGTGTACGAGGGACTGGTACTAACCTCTTCAACCTTTTGCTGCATTTTGGTCAAAGTTGATTAAGTGTCTCGTTGGTGTCACGCTGCAAGCTGCAAATAAACGGTTGATTTTACAATCGTACGGAATAAGTCACTCAACAAAAACAAAATTGACAAAAAAAAAAAGAAGCGAGTGTGCCGCAGAGTGCACTTTCACTGTCGCGGCAGCAGATTAAGTTTATTATATATTATTTATTACAATTTAATGATTGCTGTTGTTCGATGGGAAATGTTCTCTCGGACGATCCGTGGTTGCGCGCGCGCAAAGCTCCAGAAAGCAGAAGACAAAACAACGCGGGAAGAGAGAGCACGACCAGCACGCAAGGGCAAATATTAATATATATATTTTTTCGACAATATATATATCAGGGATATATCAGCGGACTTTCCGATTTCAGAAAAAATTCGACACTATTTTTCTGTTGTTTTCTTGTCCGCGGCTTTTTTGAAAATGGTGGGAAATGGGGGAGGCAAGGCCCGTGCTTTCAAATACACCCGCTTTCAGATGTTGCTCGGCCACATGTGGCTAGAAAACATGTTGCCGGCAAGGTAAAACAAGTTTGGAGCACGAGTAAAACGAGTAAAATAGCACGCATTAGAGCTAAAATCCACCCCGATACTTAATTTACCATGAATGTTTACAGGGCTTGTACACAAATATGAGTTTTGCGTTCCAAGTATGAGTTTCGGCAGTTATCGATACCTGGCGGTATCGATGTATGAATTTAAATTATTTTATTATAGATAATATTCATTACTGGATGGCATGTGGCGAAGCTCTACCTTTCTGTTTTCTTTGTTGAGTAATTTAAAGAATTAATGTTCTTAATGAGTTCGTTCGATTATGTTCCCTCTCCAGCTTACACACTTTACACACAGCTTTCTTCAATAGTATCGGTATTATTATAGCGATGTAGAAATCATGTAGATCATTTCATACCTGTGCAGTTGCCATGTAGCGATATGAACTCAGCTTTGTGGACATTTTGACCTTATTTGTTCGATCCATATTCCATCAACAATGGAATGGAAAATGGATTAATTTATCGGACAAAATTATATTTCAGTGCTGAGGGGCCTAGGTAGCTGCAAATACGAAACGGAATATATAAATTGGGAAATACAATTTCCGATAAAAATGAACTTAGTTCGTTCACTGTAGTGAATAGTTCTTTGTTGATAAGTTCGTTCATGAACGACGTATTGTCATAACGACCGGCGAAATTCGAACACAAAACAAAAAAATATCGAAAATTGTCCAGTTCTGCAGAAAACAGAAAAAGAGAGATGACGGAAAAATGCAGAGACACTAAGCGTACGGGCATCTACCGCCTCAGTGGGAAAATCACCGACTTGCGGCTGGATATCAAGCTGCGGCACCTGAGCGAGTGGCTGCCAGTCCCGAAGCTGGACTACGCCGGAGCTGGAATCTACAGCACGCCCAGCGCCAGCACCGTAGTAACCGAACGGAATTTCTATGACGACTGCTTTATTTTTGTGCCGATGTGCGACGATCCCATTTTCAGCGAGGGCTTCGGCAAGCAGATCTACTACAACTACTACAATCTGGGCAGAGGCTCGACGCGCTGGAGCTCGAGCTCCCAACGTAGTTACAGCACATTGGTCAATCCCCGGGGAGCCCTCACGCTCCAGCCAGAGACGGAGACGGAGCTGGAGCAGGATCGTCCGTCAGAGGCGGAGGCGGAGGCGGAGGCGGACACTGAGACGGAGAGCCAGGCCGCTCAGCCCCAGGAGCTGAACATGTGGAACGAAATCAGCGACGCCAGCCGGGCCTTCTACGCCCTCAACAAGGAGCTGTGCAACGGGTGCACGGCAAACCTGCAGATTGCCTGGCAGCAAAAGTACTTCAGTCGTGCAGAGCTAGAGACCTACAGCCAGGATGCGGACACCTACACTACGCAGCTGCAGCGCCGCTACCACCGCTGGGCCCAGGACATCATAGAGCTGCAGCAGAACCATCTGCTGTTGGAGGAGGAGCAGCAGGAGCTGGCAAAAGAGGAATTGGTGCACGTGCACCGCAGGATACACAAATCGAAGCGCTGTCGCAGTGGGTCGGACACGATGACGTGGTTCCCCAACGGGGGCAGCTCCTCGGCGTCCATGTCCCAGGTGTCGGTCATAGAGGATCCGAACTTCGCGGCCCGCACCTGCCTCATCCACACGCTGATCGAAGCGGACGGCGAGGAGCACCTGCCACAGGAGGCGCGCCAGTTCCACGCCGACGGCTTCCAGGTAATGTACGTCTTTGCCGACCTGCAGGAGGACACTCTGCTGGTGACCATCCGGTACTCGCCTGCGCTGGGGCTGGTCTATGTCTATCCGGACTTCACCTGCAGCGCTGACGACATGGACTACGAGGTGGTGATCGACAGAGTCGACGACTGCCGCCAGCTCTACTGCTACGGCTTCCAGAGCGTCACGCCGCTGGAGGCGGTGGGCAGCGAGGAGTGGAACATGCGGATGGAGGGCCTGCTCAGTGGAGGGAGCTCAGAGCACCAGCAGAGTGAGGAGACGAGCGTGGGGTCAGATGAGGAGTTTCCTGTGCCTCCGAATGCCAGCTCGCAGGACTTACTGGACTACTTCCAGGGACAGCGGTCCCTCACCACGGAGCTACGTATCCTAAGCCACTTCGAGATGCCGCCCAAGCGGATGCGCCGCGTCTCGCTGCTGCTGGAGATACATGAGGCCCAGCACTTCGAGCACCCCAACATCCATGTGCGTTACTTCATCCAGCCGCCTCCCCACACCATGGTGGAGACGATGGCGACCGGCAGCAATCCCTTCCCTTTGCGCGGCGCCACAGCCACATGCCTGGGCGCGGGCGACTCCCGTTGTGCCCACCTGGCGCACTGCTGGCAGCTGACGCTGCTCTGCGAGGAGCAGTTCGATCCCGTCCACCTGCTCCACGTCTACTTCGAGGTAATCAGCATCGACGGATGGCAGCGCGAACGCTGCGAGGGCTATGCCCACTTCGCCTGCTCCCTGATGGACCCGCTTCCACCGTCTTCCGGCGAAGGCCTGCGACTGCAGTGCACCCGTCCGCTGGGCAGCTGGCTGGACACCCTCAACCGATACTTCATTGGCGGACGCCAGAACTTCGACTTTGTGGCCTACTTCAGGGGCCGTTCCAAGCCCGAATCCAGTCTCCACACGCGCCTCAGTCTGGACACCGCAAAGGCCATGCGGAACACTGGCTCACTGGTTTTCCGCATTCGCAAGCTACAGCAGGGCCAGCCGGAGATGCTGGTACAGCTGAAGATGGACATGGGCCCGAACAGCAGCGAGGAAAGCGAGACGGACAGGAATAGCACGCTGGACGAGGTGATAGCTGCCTTTGTGCAGGCCAGGGAGCGCATTCGGTCGCTCTTGGGCCACCAAGCCTCGTATTGATAGGACCTCTGCACTCTTCCGCTTCCTTCCATGCGAAAACTAGACTGAGTTAGCCGCTTCGTAGCAGCATTAAGAAATATAATATAAGATTATAAATAATTCATCTGTGATGGAGTCGTAGATGGAATGTGGGCCATTATATTCTGGTCTATACCAGTCCTATCGTACTTTATAGCTCTTTGAAAGGACTTATGTCCTGGACTTATGTATCCGGGCTTTCCTTAAGGATACAACTGATATATTTTCGATCCCAAAATATGGATGGATTTATCTCCAAAGGCACCTGCACCAGAGCACCTTTTGCAGCCACCATTCTCCTGGCACTACTAGTGTATTATTCTTATTATTACTATATGTGGATGACCTCTCCCTGTATGTTTGGACTTTTAATGGAAGTTAAGCAGCACTTTGGTGGGACTTATTTCCCAAATCCTGTCAGTAGACTCTCTCAATTTTGAGATTTTCAATTTCTTGAGGCGGTATCTCAGGTGAGACCTTTGGGGAGGGGACCAACCGTCCCCTGGTAATACTCCTTGCAGAAGAATAGAACACACTCCGGAGTTAGTTTAGCCATTTTATTTACTACTAATATCACTCAGTGTATATACATAGATTCGTTTCTTGTCTTTTGTCGGGGTTGGTGTGTTTGTGTTTGTGTTTTTTGTGTGCTTGTGTGTGCGTGTGTGCGTGTGTGTGTGTTGTTGTGTGCTTGTGTGTGTGCGTGTGTGGTGTAGATATACATATTATACTATATATCAATATATATATATAGAGGTATAATATCATACAATATTGTGCATTGTATATAACACTAAAAAATGATACAAACAAAAACAAAATTTCACTATCTTTTTACTCTGGTTGTTGTTGTTGGATGTGTGGTTCCTGTTGGAGTTGCACTTAAACCTAAATACTTGCAGCTGTAAGCGGGGGCGCAGGGGAGCGGGACTGGGACTGGGACTGGGGAGGGGGATTCGGGTGGATACCTATGCTACGGGCAGGTACTGGCGCGATGGCGTCACCAACGGCACTTTGGGTGCCTGGTAATCATAGCCGTTTCCATACTCATTCACGTTGCCGAATCCATTGCCGTTTCCATTTCCAAATCCATTTCCGTTGCCAAATCCATTGCCGAATCCATTGCCATTGCCATTGCCGAAGGCTCCATTAGCATTGCCGTAGTAGTCGCTGGACTGTGTCTGCTGGCCACCGAGGTTGGGGGAGCTGAAGAGCGGGCCGTTGGCCCCATCCTTCTGGGGCGTGTAGCTGTAGTCGTCGCCGCTCTGGCCGCTGCCGCGCAGGGGACCGGCCTGCTCAGGGTTGAGGCTCTGCTGGAGGAACTGGAAGCGGTTCTTGTTGCCCAACAGACTGCTGGCATCCACGGCGGGCCTCTGGCCAGCTGCGACCAGGGGCTGGGGCCTGCAGACACACACAAAGATCACACGATAAGGATATCTCCTTCGGAACTCCGGCATGTTGTGCAAAACTTACTCGGGAATGTCCAGATCCAGTTCGGTGATGGGATGGTAGCCGAACTCGTCGGCCGTGTAGCGGGTCTTGTAGCGCTTGCCATCGGCGCCGGTGAAGGAGTACGACCCACTGACCACAAAGGTCTTGTCGTCCTTCAGTTTTCCCACGCTGCTCACCTCAATGCCGTTCTGCGTCTTCAGTCTGCGGAGGGAATAGGGAATGGGGAAAGGGCATCGCGGACTTAGTACAGCTGCAGCGATAGACCGATGCGAATGATGCCGTTGTACTCACTCCAACTTGAACTTCTTGCCGGAATTGTAGTTCTGCAGCTTCTCGGTCTTGGCCTTCATCACATCGCCGCTGAAGTGCACCGCCGGCTTGTCGTCGTCAATGTCCTCCGGCAGGGTGTAGATATCGCTGGGATCGTACTTAAACAGATCCAGATTCCGGTCCGTCAGATGCTTCACATCGGCCACCGCCAGCGCCGCAAAGCAGGCCAACAACAACAACTGAAAAATGAAGAGCAGAAAACGGAACGGAAATTAGTCAAAGGAAATCGATCGGGACAAGTCCCTCCATTTATCCACAGATATATCTAAACACATGTCCAAGTCGCACGGCATAAATCACTGACAAAATAGCTGGGCGCTTTTTGCAGTTAATGTTTTAATTTCAGACGAAGTCTTTTGCATTTAGCATTAGCGGCCAATTAATCAAAGTGGCGTGCGCTTTGCCAGCGTTTTGCTGGCGGCTTTGCCAGCGCTGGAGTCGCGCATCAGTCGCGCTGTGGCCGCTTTGTTTTATTTGCCTTGACGTCGTAGTCGTCGCATTGTCTCGCGCGTTTCTTGGGGTTCCTTGTTGTTGCTAGAGCGCCAGCTAATACGTTTATTTGATTTATTTGATTTAGTTTTGGGACGAGGCAGTAATGGTTATATGTCTGTTTTTAGTCGCTTCAAGATTTGTCATTCGATGATTTCGCCTCTTCTGACCGCTGAAACGGGGACAGAGCAGTAGCACCTCAAAGTTGATAGATCGATCTCTTAATGGAAAGCAATGGAAAGCCTTCTTTCCACCAGTAAGCTTGGCACTGCAAGCTGTGGAACCTATCAGATTCCATTCAGATGGAAGCTTTCATCCTTGTTGCCTTCCATACTGTTACCACAGTCTTCCCTCAATTACATATATAATTTTTCATGGAGTTCCATTTGGAAGGACAATGCAATAAATCTTTTGCGTTTACACTTTCACTGCATCCTTTTTTCACATGCGGCACCATAAAAAAATGTCTCGATTTAGCATCTCTTATTTATATTAATTTTGTCTCTGTTTCTGATTCTGTTTATTTTCTTGTTTTTTTGTCGGTCACTTACAAAGCTCTTCATGTTTCTTTGAGCGGGTTGAGAACAAAAAATTCAAAACGAGGATAACGGAGGCTGAACGGATCTGGCTTTGAGAGAAATTCCACTTTCAGCTGGTAAGCTGTTCCGGTGCGCACAGATTCTAGCAAATAAATACAACCGATGGCACCGTCTCGTTTCCTTTTATACTCGTGTGAGCGGCGCGCGGTTTGCCGGAGAACGAGAAAACGAAAAAGAAGCAGTGGCGAAGCAGAAGCAGCAAGCAGCAAGCGAAGACGAACCGGACAATGTGCTGCCTCGCGCTGCTTTTCTGCTGCTTGAATTACCTCTGCTTTGAATGTTTTGCTTGTGTTGTTGATGCTGGCCAGAGCTTTGTTCTTGTGCTTCTTGTGATTCTTTCTACGCCGTCTTCATGCTGCATGTGATTCTGTTCTGCGACGCGTCTGCTGTGGCATGATGTTGATAGCGATGTTTAATTGATTACCTTCTTTAATCAACTGGTTCATTCTTCTGCCTGCAGCTTGCACTGCTTCTAGTGCTGCCAGTACTGCTTGCTGTTATGCTAATTCTGCAAGTACTTCTTTTTCTACTGTTTAATGGGAAATTTCTATCCTAAACTGCTTGCTGTTTCTTATGCTTCTCTTATCAATGCTTTGTCGCTCTCACTACTTTTTGTGCTGCTTGTTTTCCGTTTCTGTCAATGCTATCAATTCTGCTTGGCAGATGCCGACGCGTCGCCCTGTCTCTGCCACTCGTAGAATGATGTCTGCGTTTGTCGTTTGTCATCTGTCAGTGAGACGGGGGGAGGGAGGGATTAGGCTGGCAGGCGGGCAGGGGGGTTGGGGGGCTAATCACCCATCCATCCATCCATCTATGAATCGGACCTGAAGATGTAACTGTTTAGGGCCGGCCATCGTTGTTGTTGGGCGGTTTTTGTGTGCCTCGATCACCGTGGACAGTTCCGACGGACCCCGCATGGAAATCTGGTTTCGGACAACAAAATTAGAAAACCGCCATCATCGAATTAGCATACACGTTTAATGATGGCTTTTTTTCGCCTCTTTTTTTGGCGTGAGTATCGCCGTCTATCTGCCCGAATCCGTACGAATACGAGTATACATATGCGTAAATTTAAATCTACGTTAATTTTTTATAAAGCATGGAATACGAGTCAATATAAGACACATACATACTAACGGAGATAGGGGTTAGGGTGGAGCAGAGTGAAGTGGAGTGGAGTGGAACCTGCACGGAGACTGATAAAATATGCGTTGATTCACGATTAACGATTAGCCCAGGTACCAGTTTCAGCGGACACTGGACCGTAAACAGTAAACCGTGGACCGTGGACCCCCTCCTGCGGATCCAAACTTCGGATAACTCTGTTGAATGAACCAAAGCGTTCCAATGCTGATTCTAATTCTGAGCAAGAGATCGGAGATCGAAGATGGGCGATTTGTGTACACTTAGCATATTTTATCTATCATCGTGATGATGATCGTGAGGATCATCATCATCAGATGGTGACTGTGATTACGATCAGCGTCCAAGAGACACTATTCTCATATGGTAATGGTCTCAAATCTCGTTCAGCCTTCGCTTAATTAGCCGTTCCGTTTCGGGCTTATCATATTTATCAACACTTCGGTTCTCTTCTACAATCCGGCGGCTCTCATATCGGATCGACAGTCTCTCTACGAGTATGCCAATTCCTAAGTCTTGGCTACCGCTAATCATTGCAACCGACCCACAGGGTCAAATTCATTCCAGTATGCTACGTTCATTGGAGAGGCTTTTTGGCCTTTGTCTGGGGATTCATTCAAGTTCTTAAATCATCTGAATATTAGTTGTTGTACTTGCAGTATTGGCCATAAATACATGTATGTGGATTCCTGTTTCATTGATAATTATGAATAGGCCGTAATACCATACCAATTGATGTCCAATTTTCAAGTCTCTTAAAACCATAGCCATTCGTTGTTGTGGGGGGTACATTTGGGTTCTTCAGAGGGAGTGAGTCCTTGGCATCAAAATCTGATGGCTTCGGATCGGACAGCGATGGAGAGTGGAACAGAAATGGAACTAGACAGAAATCGAATGGATGGGATTGGAATCAAACCGGACCGGACACGCAGCTCTAATGATAATCGCTAATGGTGCCTCTAATTTAAGTTTTATGCTTAATAACTTAAACGAATGCCGCACGGCATTCATTTTTCGTCTACAAGCGACGAAACCCCCAAAAGCCTTAGAGCGTCAAAGCACAAAAGCCCCAACCCCACCAGCAGAAGCAGAAGTAGAAGCAGAGATCTCCGGCTCTGTGCCGTGGCGAGATTCTTCTTCTGGTAACGCGCTGATCTGCTTGGCTAATGAAAACGTTTTGGCCATTTCAACAGCTTGTCAGCAGTGTCTGTCCGTCCGTCCGTTGATGATGGCTTTTGCCTTGGAAAATATCTGTATTCATGCTATATGTAGTATGTCTTTGATATCGGATTTGCATGCAACACGCTTGCATACACGCCCCAAAACAAATATTGGAGTGGAGTGGAGTGATTAGACATGATGTCTCACTTAGCCCCAAAACGAGTTCTCTCACTGTCCGCCCAGGGGAGTGGCAGTGGCCCCTGACTCATCAACATCATCGTTAAAGTCGTGTTCAATCGGTATCATCTGCCAACAGCTGCGGCTGTTGCCTAAAAGTCCCGTCGCCGGTAAAAGCCTTTGTGTCGCTGCATACGCCGGATAAATTATCATCAATTTTTACTTCATTTTGAGATTTGCATAGCGAAAAGAAAGTGTTTCATTTGGTCTTGTTTTTGTCCCCTAATTTTTATTGTTATCGATTTTTGTGCGTTGTTTTACGAGTATATCTTTGGCAAATTAACAGATCGAACAACTTGTTACGCAGCCCCCAGTTCCCTCGTTTCGCAGTCCGTTTGAAATTTTGCCGATTTTCAGATTCGTTCCCACCTGCGATTTGAGAGTATTTTGGCTTTGACAGCCAATTGGTTGATGTTTCTGTACCTGATCTGTACCCTTGTTAATCCTAACCCTTAGTTCGCTAGTCAGTACTTAACGATAATGATGTAAGTATTCCCACAATTTGGAGACTAATTTATCGTTCAAATTAATATCGCATATATCTACATATATCATATATCATTGGCTGTCATAGGAATAAGCCATAATACTTGAATATTTTGATCTGTCTCTGGCAGAGAGTATTCAAATCTTCGGTCCGACCCTTCCCTTCTTGTTTTCGTGTGTATTTTTCCAAAAAAATAAAGAAAGAGCAGAAAAAAGTAGGTATAAAATAAATAAATAAATTAGCAATTATAAGGAAACAGAAACGAGATTTCCAAGAAACCAAAACACTCTATTCTGTTCTGTTCTGTTCTGTTCTGCTCTGTGCGGTTCTGTTCTGTTTGATTCAGTTAAGACTCCCTTCTCCTTCTTCTGCGGAATCGACTGGAAACGATTCGATAAACTGCCCTTGGGAGGCACTGCGGGATCCATTATGCTAAAATCATGTTAGCTCGAGAGCTATGGCTGCGGCTGTGGCATGAAGAAAACACTGAAATCAGGCCCTAAATTTGAACAGCATGACTAAGAATCATCTGCGGAGACGATCATTGAGCGTCAAACTGCGCAATGGCTCTTCTGATCATCAAAATATGCCAGACGAGAGGCCGCCTTATAAAGATCTCATATGTATATCCATGAATAACATAGATTATTCCTAGAAATTATCCTGCAAGCAGTACATCGGATAAGTCCGAAGCCTTGGTTTTCCGTTGACAAGAAATCGGTCAAGATTTTTGGAATGCTAACCGCGGATTTTTCCCTAGACAGACATTTTAGTGTGTATCCCATTGATTCTAGAACTAAATCATATCTGATATGATATCGATCGCTGGGAACACTATACTCCCATGCTCACACTTTGGAGCTGGTTCACAGGTTCAGCTCTGACGCTGTCCGTATTGCTGTCCGATCCGTCCGAGACTCATTTGCATGGGGACACATGCACGAGCCCCATTCCCCTCCCAAGCGTTCTGTCTTATCGGAGCATCTTGATTTCTTGTAGGTGGCGGAGGTGACAGAGCGATTCTGGATTTGGCGAGTGCGGGTTGTCGTTATTGGAGCATGTCCAGGGCGATGATTGAATTTGAATGGAATAATCATAAAAGCGATCTGTTATGGCTGCATGTGGTGCCCCGCTGCCGTTCCCAGCCCACCCCTGAGTCCAACGGGGGCTCCGAATCTGAATGTGAATTAGAGATCTGGTTACCTGCTAGGGTGGCTGCTGCTGTCTTTTGTCGACAGCAGTTCCAAGCCATAAATAATAAGTGGCTAAATCATATTTTATGGCCAACTTAAGGAAATACTCGCACAGCTACAGTTCGGCAACTGCCAAATATTCATTCTTCGCGTCGAGAATCGAATCCGAATCCAAATCCGAATCCGAGTCCCATCCCAGCCAAGCGACAAGACAATCCGGACGGGCGTTCCAACTAAATCGAGTTGCGATCAGGTTCTCTGTGGTCTTTGACCGGTTATGCATATTTCCCCGAGCCACCAGCACCAGCACCAGCACCAGCACCAGCTCAGCACCACTGCCTATCGAGCAAACGCTCCTTTTTATGGCTCTTTTCTACAATCTTTTTTTAGGGGTTTTTATTCAGTTTTTTTCAGTTTTATTTTATATTTTTTCCATTTTTTCTATTTTTTTTGTGTGTTGTGTTATGGCCAACAAATAAATAATCAATGCAAATTTGCATAGTTTAAATAGAAAGCTAAACACGTTTTGCTTTTACCCCGAAAACGTAAAGTTTTCTGCCTCTCTGTCAGTCGGTTCCCCGGTTCCCTGGTTTCCTGTTGTCCCCCTATTCGATTGTCTTTGTCCATCGTGTCTGATGATCCATCCCTACGACTCTTTTTATTGATCTTTGTAGATTCTGCTGAATTTCTTCAAGTATAGTAACTACGACCAGTTTTTATTGTAGTTTTTATTTTGGGCTCAGTGGAGTCTTAAGTTCCCGATCGTAATATCGTATCTATTGACATTTTGTATGCATACACTGCGTTTCAGTAATGAAATGAAGAATATTTGCCTTAAGTGTTTCAGATGTATTTGGTTAAAGTCTCCGTGGATTGAATCTCGTCCAATTCAAGCTGCTCGTTTCAAGGGTTCTCTGTCTTTCTTTAGAAAGATATTTTTGTGCGGTAACCCTGTTTTCCACTCCCACTTAGATATACCTCGAAACATGGAAGGGGGAACCAGGGCTATGCATCTGTCAAGGCGAGTTTTAGGCAAATTTTCTTTGACTACATCGATGTTCCAGATTTGATCGGGCAGCTAAGAGAATTTGGGGATACTTGTGCTAAAAGAAACATTTATTAATGAATGTGAATGTCAAAAAGCGAAACAAAGACAGTACTCACTCAGGGAGGAACAGAAGAAAGAAGCAGGAAACAGAATACGAGATACAGGATTAAGCACAGGTGAAGGAAAGTGCATTACTGCACAAGATTGAGCCTCGACATCAGGATTTTATAGAACACGCCACGCGAAAATATTTTCGACAGGAAAAATCCAGTGCACAAAACCACAATTATTTCCCCAACGCCGATTTCACGTTGAGGTTGCGGGTGACCCTCTTCGTCCACCAGATCATACTCCACCATCCGCGGCTCATCCTCATCCTCCTCCACCAGTTGGGGCTCCTGCTCGCACTCGTGGGCCACCTCCTCGTCCTCCTCCTGCTCTGCCTGCACCACTTCAGTCCGACGTTCGCGTTTCTTCAAGGCATAAATCAATGGGACAGTAACCGCTGTGGCCAGTCCAATGATCACAAATCTTTTCATTTTGAATAATTGTGTAGAGTAATTGCTAAACAACTATATTTCAATTTGTAACGAAACAGCTCCGATGATTAGTATGACTAAAACCAAAGGTTTCCTAGTGCATTAAAATACCAGCCTACTTCGACATGAAGTACTACGATTTTTAGTAAAGTAACCAGATGCTTACTCAACACTCAACATCTGTTCTACAGTTACAAACACTGGCACTGTGCTGATAAACTGAAAGGAAAATTTCATAGTAAACGGAATGCAGCCAATATTGAATCTACATAAACATGAAACCATTTGAAACACTGACAATATTTCATTTAAATACGAAATACATACATATAAATTCGTATTGTGATATTCTCACTCTCGGAGCATTTTATTTAATGGCATATATATGTATTTAAATCTAAGTTTCTCTGGGTGTACTGTGGGCCATTAAACTATGCTGGTCCAGAACCCAAATCGAAGTCCCGCCGAACCAGAATTCGAGTTCTGGCTTGGGAGGAAGAAAACGCATAAAAACGAGGCCCGATTGTCGCTGCCACCATTTAAGGCTGTCGTTCAATTAACTCTGGCTCACTAATTCCATTAAAAGTTTTATGGGGGTTATAAATCACCGATTTCGATGCTACATCCCGATCCGAGCCGAGAAAAGTCAATAGAACTCTGTTGATCCATCAAATTAATAGATCCTATTCGTATACGTGTGCGTATTCGTATTCGTATTCGTATTCGTATTCATAGTATTCCCATTCGAGTTTCGAGTTTACGAGTTGTTTATTTAATAATTTATCTGAGTTTTCCGCAACGATCAGTCCGGTCAACGCTAAGCGGGTTTTTTCTGTCTTGTTAGCATTTTGTGTGTAGAAAAGCTAAAAATAGCCAATGGAATATACATACGAGTACAATTAAAAATTCAACAGATTTCGTCCAGCTGGGGTCCAGCTTAAGCCGCGCCAAGGGCAACCAACGACTGAGAACTGTGTCAGTCAGCAACATGGAGAAGGCAACATTCCCTTCACGTATCCATGGACTAGATATAACAATAGAATTACAAATGATTCTATCAATCGGAGTTATTGAAAACTCTATAGAAAAATTAGCTTAACTTTTAGTGAGAACAGAAACAGGTATCGATTAAGGTGGTACATTCGCTGTACTATCCGTAGAACTACTGTTGGTCGAAATAGGTGGACATGGGAACTGGAGCTATTTATGTGGGAAATTAGATAAAATACAAACCATTACTGCCAATAATACGAGAGATGAGCCATCCCCCATGCCCATGCCAGACACCTTTACCCATCCAACGAAACATGGTATGTATGAATGAAACATTGATGATCTGATCCGATCAATCGGATTGGGAATCATTCAAATAATTCCGTTACGCTTCTGCTGCCAGCAATGGCAATGTCACTGACGCTAACGCTGACTCTGAAGCCGAAGAAGTCGGCGAAGACGCCTCGCGGAGCGAGAAGATAGTCAAAAGACAAATCGAAGACACTTGCTCCACTTCTGCTTACATACGGCGCAGACTGCGCGACTCCACTGCTGTCTCACTGCCGTCACTCTGCCTTGGCTCTGAGTCTCTCGCACTGGCACACTGTGACGCCGGGAGAGGATGAGGTTGAGGCGTGAGAGAGTGGCAGCGCGTGCGCGTCTCTGCGGGGTACAGTTAGACAGACATGCGCCAATACTAATTCTTTGATTAAAGAGTGTGACAGTGTGCGTGTGCTTTGTGTGGTCCAGCGACGCGTGCGGCGCATGCGCAGCGTTTTTGTATACCCTGCACTCGAAGAGCATATTAGGCTACATCAGATTTGTGTAACAGCCTGAAGGAAGCACTATCCGAATCTGGATATGATCGGATCTTTATTATAGCTAGAATGAAGTAAACGATTTCCATTTGAAGAGTTCCCTGCGCTCACACTCTTCCTCGAAGAGCGTGCGCCCCCTGGCGGAGTGAGCGGCGTTTACGTACAATTACGTATAAAGTACATAAGCTAGATAAATTATAAGCTTACATATATCTTTATGCATCTATTCCGACTGAGTACGAGGTATTAGTATAGTCGTGGACGTGTGTCGCGAATCACAACCGACCGACTGGTTTTATTTTTGTCGATTGATTGTGTTGTTTTTATATACTGATTTGATCTCCATCTTCGTATCCATCTAGCACACGGTAAGAGGTAACTGGCGATGGCTGGGATAGGGTTTTTACCGCTTCATGTCTTTCTACTCCTCTCCTAATCTAATATCTGTTTAGTAAAAGTATGTATGTAAATATACCCTTGCAGAAGAGGGTGCTATGACTGTCATGGTGTCACAGAGTGATTATGGTATATGGATAACTGTATCATATATTTATGCACACATATTGTATCATAGATCAACATTTTGTAATTTGATTAATTTTGTAATATTTACAATATCCTACTCGTGTCTCTCATCATTCGTCCGGTGTGCAAGGGTATCAAATGCCTCGGCTCCCGAAAACCGAATGCCTGCCTTTCTGGGTATCGATTGTGTTGTTTCGATCCCATCATAATTTGCACCTGCACGAGAATCGCACTCGCAAATTAGCTCTGGGGGAAACGTCGAGGCTGGAGAACGGATGGCAAAACAGTCAAAGCAAAAAGTGTATGCACCACACAATGAAAACAAAGAACTCGTTCCCCCAAGGGGGAATTTGCGACATGAAATATTTTCTAGATTTACAGATCTGCAACAATATCACTCATCTAGAAACCACAGAGTTACTTGGATGTAAATCGGTCAAAAGTCTACTTAAAGTGGGAACTTAAAGGCGGGACACTGATGGCAAATAATAATTTTTTAGACTTCGAATTTAGCTTAGAATTCCGAAAACTCCCTAGGCTTCAGGATAAAATTGGCGAGCAGTTGATGATAGAAGCTCTGATACAGTGGAAACAAAAGCGAAAAGGGAAAAACTTAAAGAGCCTATAGCTTGCCAAATTGGAATAATTTTAACAAAAATAAGCACCGAATCAATCGTCAATCACAAAAGCGGTCATGAGACTTCTATGCGGCACTGTAGACGTCAGGCCATATGTCCAATGAGAAGAAAACACGTTTGACCATTAACGATGGCTGACTTTCATTAGATAGATGGCCAAAATCCAGTTCCCCTTCTCCATTACTGAGTGGGTGCCATAGGTAGCATCATCATCATCATCGTCATCATCGGACTCAAGCCCGAATCTAAATCCGAGTTCTATTTGGATCCAAGCTGGCTGAGATCAGAGACATTTCCGCTTACTTAGGCGCAACAATTTAAAAATTGACAGCTCCGCGATTGCCAATTAATCTTTTTATACCAATCCCCCCCAATCCGAAGCCGATTGCGAATGCGAATGCGAATGAGAACTGAATCAGATGGCAGAAACCCATAAACCAAATCCAGATAAATTGCTATAAATGTCTTTTCGAGTCAAGTTCATAAATTAGCTCGAATCAATATCGAGAGAGGCCACAAACCAGAAGAAGAAGTCAGATTCTGGTTTCCCATTCTCCCAGTGCGTTGAAGTAGACTTTTTTGGGGGGGAACTTCGTGCCCCACAAAGTCCTGTCATACGATACTGTACGTGGCATAGCCTTACACCCCCTTCTAATAAAAAGACCAGAGCAAATAATATTCTTTGTGTAACTCTGTTTTCCTCTGCCACTGTAATAGATATCGATACAGGGTGGAGGAAACCAGCTCTGAGCGTTTAATTGGTAGCTAGATGGCATCTCTCAATTCAACAGGGCTATAACACAGGACTGCAGCATCTTTCAGATCTCGGTGAGCCAGGCTGTTGAAACCAAAGCTGCAACAAACATTTAAGGCTCAATGATTTACTACTAAAAAGCGCATCAAAGTCAGAACTCACTCAGAAACGCAAATACTGATACTCTGCCGGTCCGAGCCAAGAAAAAATGATTTCGTAAAACTTTTCAGTGCACAGCACGTTATGGACGATCAGTGCAACGTATACAAAGCTAAACATATAATCCCAGTCTTCAGGTTGCAGCCGATTGGCCCGATTCCCGAGCTCATTCTCCACACCCAAAGGCACATTCACACGCACAGGCACAGGCAGAGGCACAGGAACAGGAACAGGAACACCCACATCCTCATCTTCTTCTTCCTCCTGTACGACAACAGCTGGAAGCATTGTCTTCATCAGGACGTAGATAATTGCAGCACATACGATTTCAAACATATCCATTCTGAGCAATAGGAATGCGCAAATGAATTTTTGAATTTGTCACAAATGAACCCAAAGGCCTCTCGTTTTTCGTTTATTTTCACAGAAATGAGAGTACTAGCCTACTGGTGCTACAACTTAAACTGAAAACATCCTGTGCGGATCCTACGTACGTTCATAAGCCCACACACATCAAACAAAGAAGAAACCCGTCGAAATGATGAGGCCTCCTTATTTCGCCTTCAATTCCATTCCTTTCAAGATTGTTATTCCATAAGGGTTAAGAAATAAGGGGCAGACGCAGTGGAGCAGTGGATGGATACGTCGATTGTTCAAGGATGTGTTACAAACACATGGCAATGGCAGATGGCAGCTCTTTCGTCACCCAAAATGATACATACACTCGAAACTACATTCTGGATCTGCGTCATCGTGGCGTTCTTACGCGTTGAATTATTCAGTTGCGTCATGAGATTAATTAACGAGCAGCGATTGGGAGATCTACAGATTTGCTTTGGCTAATTGAATCGATCGGAGGCGATGGGGTGAAAGGTGCTCCTGCCGCGAATTCTGTTTTTATTTTTGTCATTTTTTATTTGGCCAATGCGGAAGCAGCAAGCGATTTGTTAGCCTTAAACAATTGCAATCAACTATGGACCGATCGCATGGGCTAAAAGCATTCATCAATCAGTGGAGCGTGTGGCGAAGCTATCGACCCGCTTTGTGTCTCTCGCCTCGTATCGCCCACACAAAATGTGGCAGAGGCATTCCTTGCCTTTGTCCAAGCGGGAGCTGAAATTTTCAGAAAGGGGAATACCTTAATAACGAAAAGGAACATTTTAAAGCATTTTCTGCCCATTAAGGGGGGTAGGATTCTGCTCCAACTTGTGCAGGCAACTGTCAGGCGACGTTTTTCCTACCCCATCCCATTAGATCCGCTGGCGTCTCGTTTATTGTGTGCAACTTTTCCAAACAACGTAGCATATTTGCAGGCAGTGTAAAGTGTACGAATCTAGAGTCTGCCATGCGAGCGATGGTATCTGTAGTTGACCGTGTAGAAATATAAGGTACATATGTGGTAGTTTGTCTCAGCTCTGGTCATCGCTTATGGACTCTAGGATCTTGGTAGGTAGCTGGCCTAGTAGTAGATCAATCGCCGGGCAATCTGGCGCGGCTTCTTGAAGTATTCTTTCACCAGCTTGGGACACATCAAATGGGACCGTGGCTCCCAGGAATTGAACTCCTCGGAGTAGTGCTTCCACTTGAGAAGAAACTCTGTGCGACCGCCTCGTCTGCGCTGGTCTATGATCATCTCCACCTCAAAGACCGCCAGCTCCTGTTTATTCACTGTCCCTGGGGCAACGACAACGGGCTCTTCTGTCGTTTGGCTCATTGGGGTAGAGCGCCTGGCTCTCTGGGGCTCTTGAGTCCCGCTCACGAGAACTCGGCGGGCCTTAGGCATTTTTCCTGGGGGATCCCGTTGATTTCACTTGATAAATCGACTCCCGAACTTAATTCGTATTCCCCTCTCTCGACGCGTTTTCAGTCCTTAGATTTTAGCTTTAATTTTTAAAATTTCCAAAATTTTAGAATTATCCCAATGGAAAAATACTGACAGGTTTATATCTGATACCAAAAATCAAATGGGACTATTTTATTTGAAGTTCCAGTGCTTTGACATAAGCATGTATCAAACTACAATAAAGTGGCATGCCCCTGGCCCAGTGAAGTACGAGTATTCCCCACATTGAGGTACTACGTGTACTACCCGCCTTTTATATTATAGTTGGTGCTCTCTGTAGCAGCAGAGTTAGACACAGACGTAGACCAGAGAGACCCTGGTCCGACCCGGCAATTAACCTGGCAATCCGATGACAGCCGAAGCTCTTTGCTCTCGCTTGATCGGATGGTACTGAAGAGCGATCATCCTCACGAGATCTGACGACGAATTTGAGCTCCTCCTGAATTACTGAACAATCAGTAGGCATGGGAGACTATATATTGTCTGTCAAAGGAGCCACAGACTTTTGGTTCAGGCCAAAGCTGCACATCAATTATATGTTACCACCAGGTCCCATGCGATGTTTGGGCATTTTCCACCACATTCCGATATCAAGCCCCAAGAAGTACTTCATCTTCATTAACGAAATACTGCCCCTATAGTATTTGGTGCCCCCCCCCCCCAATAAAATGCAACGTGTAAATAATATTTTGTTAATCCTGTTTCCACTTCAACTTAAAAATATATCGAAACATGCAAGTGAAAAGCAGGACTTGCATTTTGATTGGTGGATTGAATCAATGGCATCTCGGAATTGAAGTTTGCATTACTGCAAAGGCTGCATACGCTCGAGGAAAATAATCATGATTTTATAAAAGATTTCACGAGAATACAGCCGTTTCACGACCAGTGCAGCGCACACAATCGAAATGAAACGGGCCAGCTCCATGGCCTCATACTCAGGCATCTCCACATTCTCCAGATCCAGATCCTCCTCCTCCTCCTCCTCCTCCTGAGCCAGCTCGGACGACTGGAGGTGTTTCTTCAAAGCGTAGATCAATGGGACAGTAACCACAGTGGCCAATCCAATGATGGCGAGTCTTTCCATTCCGAATAATCTGAATAATTGGTATACAAATATATCTGAATTTGTAACGAATGAAGTTCCGTTTGATTTTGACTAAACCCAAGGGTTACTCATAACATAGATCTCTCCAGCAACTCAGAGCAGTCGGTTTGCGAGTTGAGGGATCTGGTCTGCTTTTCAGGCTATAAGAACGCGCCTGTTTTAGCGAAAACAACCAGTGGATGATTGGAGCATTCTTGTGGGGATGGCTTAACATGTAACAGAGAAGGAACAATCAATTGGAAAGTTATTTAATACTTGATAAGCGGTACCCCAGTCCAAGTCTTGTGTGTCCATATGGATCCATCATTGAGGGGTAGTGGCGCTCAAAAGAGGGCTTTGCCGGACTGACAGGTGACTGGCAATCAGCACATAGTCCCTTCTAGAATTCGACCTCCAAGCAAACTTTCAGGCTGCCATTTTAATATGGAGTCGGGCGAAATTACCATTGCTTATTGCGTATATAACCATACATATTCCCAATTTGCATCGAGATCCAGATAAAACAAAAAAACAACATATTACAAACTTCGGATAACTGAAGATTCTCATTCAATACAGCATTCTATTTAGGAATATCTGGGTAATATCTCCCTAGTCCGTTGGAATCAATTACCAGAAAATATCAGAATAACACCGCAAAGCAATCCTGACGGTTTCCTGACGGCTGGTTTCATGGCGATAGTGAGGATAGTTTTTCATGTATTTGCGTTCATTTTTTATTTAGGATTTGTTTTTATACAATAACTTAACATTTTTGTTGGTTTTCATTTACGTTTTGCTTTCATTTGGAATCGGAAATTTACAATATTAAATATTGATTTTATTGCTGTTGTGGCGGCTCGGCTCCCTCCTCAGCTGCTCGCTTTCATAGCATTTCAGATTTGTAATTTGTAATTTGTAATTTTTACTCTTGGGTTGAAACAATATTGCTATTTCCATATACATATAGTACAATATAGTATTGGTATTGTATGATTTATTAATTTCATTTACTTTTATCAAATGCAGCACACATTGATGCTTAGGCTGTACATGTGTGTATGCGTGTGTGTGTGTGTGTGTGTTTGGTTGTGTGGATGTAAGGGAGAGTACATTTGTTTGTGTGGCGGTCCGTATCGGTGTTCTCTTTACTTTCGTTTACTATTTGGTTGCTGCTCCTGTATAGACTTGCTTGTACCTCGCTTTGCTTTAGTTACCTGCTTGTTATTTTGCTTTCTTTTGATAAAATACTGTGTTTGTGGGAGGGGGACTGGGTGGGGTGGGCTGGGCTGGGCTGGACTGGGCTGGGAGGATGTACATAGATGCAAAAGCATGGGTGTTCGGATCGGAGAGGGATCTGATTGAGGGACTGAGTATTTCTTTTTGTGTTTACAACTAAGCTGAACAACGGTGGTTCTCTTCCTGGCTTCCTTTCTCCCTCGTCGGCGTTCCCGCACACCTCTCACCTCTCACCTCTGCTCTCTTCCTCTCTCTCTATCTCTCTCCCTCTCCTGACGACAGCACCGCTCTTCTAACTGTAGTTGCGTCTTTGATCAGCTGTGGCTTCTCTCGCACTGGGCCCGCCACAGTGGGCCACACAAGCTACGGCTCCGAGTACTTATGGGGCCCCACTGTGCGGTGTGTGGGTGGTGGGGCACTTGCATGGCATATGCATGTATGTATATAGTATATGTATGTATATGATGTTAAAAAATAACTGTATAGTATTGGGACCTCGTGTTTGTTCTTGTCATCTGTTGGGGGCTCCACTTGTCGTCTGCTTTATGCGGCATACATTTCATTCTGTATATAAATATTGCATGTATGTATTTATGCTTTCGTATATAACTGTGTTCGTGTGTGTGTGTGTGTATAAGTGTATGCATGTGTGTGTGTGTATATTTGTTTTAAGGTATAACATTTAATTTACTCTCCTCCTAAACATCATCGTCATCAGCGTCATCGTCATTATATAAATAAAAATAAATACATTATTCTTTATGTTAGATTTTTTTTCCTTTTTTTCTCGTTTTCTTATGGTTTTTTTTTTGTTTTTGTTCTGTTTTACCCATTATGCATGCAAGCAAAACGTTCTCTTTTTTGTTATTATTTTTCTCCTCATCTTCTTCGATTCTTCTTCGGTTTTTACTCTTTAAATGTCATCTTGTTTAAAAAGCCGCACTAGATTTTACAATTATAAAAAAATTCCATGTATACATGTATACATATACAGATATATTTCTTTAGATATACATATATGCATACACATATATGTAGGTCGTCGAATAAAAAAAAAAAAAAAAAAAAAATCAAGGAAAAAATGTATATATAGATAAATCCGTTGAATTGTAGGTCCATTTCCACTCTTTTGTGTACAACTTTGCTACAATCAACATTTAGCATCGGGCTCCAGACTAACAAGTATATATATATAAATATAAGTTGTATAATTATATATATTTTAGATTTACAATTCGTGTTTACGGTAACTCCGTTTCAAATTGAAGATTGAAGCGACTGTCCCTCGGGGGTCCGGCGGGGACAGTGACTGCTTAAGGTTTTCTAAGGACAGCGACTGCTTAAAGGTTTAAGGACTGCGTTCAGCGACTGCATACAGGATTTTGGGACAGCAGTTACTTATGGATTGAGGCGAGGCGAGGCGAGGTGAGGTGAGGCGACAGCGACAGCGAGTGTCAGTGCCAGTGTCCCCAACGGGTAAAGGCAGCCTCTGAGTGCAGCTGTTTTCGTGGTCGTTGTTCTCGCTTCTTCCCACTCTCGTTATTCTAGTGCTATTGCTTCTGATGCTACTGCTGGTCCATTTGCCACTCGTTATTCTATTGCCTCTGATGCTACCATTTTCTTCTCGTTGTTTTATTGCTTTAGCTCTTGCTCTTGCTGCTGCTCCTTTTCCTGTTCCTCTCGCTTTGGCGTTGTCCTTTTTGTTCTCGTTCCAGCGTTGCTGCTCTGCTTGTGCTCCTTGTCCTTGCTCTCGTTTTGCTTTTGTTGTTTCTGTTGCGGCTGATGCTCTCGTTCTTGCATTTGCTGCTGGTCTGTTCAGAGAGCTTTGAGTTTTGTTTCCTTTTCTTTTCTTTTGCTTTTATTTTTCTTAGTTTGGTTTTGTTTGATTTTATTTTTGTTTCGTTTCGGTATTCGCAAAGCAAAGCAAAGCGATTTATGCGGCATGAAAAATATCAACATCAACATCAGCTCCCGGGCTCGGGTTCGGACTCAAATCGAAAAAAACATTAACATCCAAAAAAACACGATCTATCCCTTTTATCCCCCCCCTACGAATTCCCCCACCTCACGGGCCCATCGGTCCATGGCGTATGCCAGCGATGTCCATGATTATTGGACAACACAGCAGCCCTTCTTCTTGTTCTTCTTCTCATCGATGACGACATGACTAGCCGACGTTGGTCCCGGCACCACCTGCTTCGACACCTGGCCCAAGGCGGTGACGCCGTTGGTGCTGCTGTTGCTCTGGCCCTCGGGACGTCCGCCGCCGCCGCCAGCAGTTGCATTGCCCACTGCCGCCGACTTGCTGGCGTGGGAATTTGTACCATTTTGTGCTGTTGCTTGATTCTGCGAGAGCTGTATTATCAAAAGAGAGGGAGAGAGTATTAGAAAGTGTCTGCCATGAGACTCCGACTCCGATCGAGACTTACATTGGTTCTGGTCACGCTCTCTCCGACTGCTGTGCCGCCATTACAGTTGTCATCGGCATGCTGTGCGCTGCCATTCCCTATTGTACGATCCTCCGTGGGTGTGATGGGCTTGCCACCTGCATAAACAAGGGCACTTTAGTAATTCACAGTCAAAGAGAGAGAGAGAGAGAGAGAGAGGGAGAGGGAGAGAAAGAGCTCAGGACTAACCGCGAATCATGTTGACAATTTCATCAGCCTCTCTGGACAGATCGCCGCCAGGACGAAAGGGATTGTCCCAGCCAGAATCAGTGCTGCAAACACACATGAAATTATAAGTCAATAGATCATTAGGATAGATTCTGACTGCCGACGCACCTCTGCTGACGATCATAGGCCGCCCCAAGGCCAATCTGCTGGTGCTGCTGCATCGTCGCCGCTGTCGTGCTCATTGTGGTTGGGTCGATTGTATAGCTACCGATCGTTAGATCCAGGCCGTCTGAATAGGGCCCCAGGATATACTCCGCCGGTGGACAGATCTGCTGCGGCTGACTGCTTTGGTATATGGAAACGCGCACAATTGAACGCTCCGATCTGCAAACAAAAGAGACCAAAATCTAATTACACTTTCAATACATTATACGATATATGTACGTATGTACGCGGTTCTATATTCGGCGAGAGCGGTCACGGGAGAGATCACGCATCGTCGCTTGTGACCTTAAAATAGTCGAGCAAGTGCGTCACGGCGCCTCAACCTCAATGTCAATTAAATCAAGTCATTTGCCAATTGGTTTTTCAGCAAATTTTGGAATCTGATTCAGTTTCAATTGATTGAAAGCCTCCGCCCCGGGTCCCATAAAGCCCCACAGCCAAACAGCCCGTCAGATACGGGGGGCGGGGACACTTTCCCGATATGGACCGGGGGCTATTGACCACCCATGAAGCCCATGGACGTGAAGTATGTACACACATATGTCTTGGAAAATGGACTGGAAACCCGTTTTATGTCTCTATCACGTTCTGCTTGGCCTCATCCACGATCCACGATCCGCGATCCCCGATCCCAGCATCGTATATTTGTTCAAGTGCATGGATTATTCAGAGCGTTCGAGGAGAAGTGCTTTCTTTTGTTTAATTTTAATTCAAATATCTGGAGATTTGTAGAACTACAAGATCCTAACTGATTACATATGATACCCAATGGTCCTTAAGGATCAATGGATCTAATATTGGATTACCACACGTATTTCCCCCTAGAATCACCCTATTTCAATCATGACAACATCTGACATTCCGGATCGATTGATCAATCGTTTATGCAACATTTTGTTGTATGTAGAGCTGCTTCCATAAAAGACACTGATAACTGGCTCTGTTTGATGGCTAATGACCTCACACTCCATACACTCTATACACTCGATCGATATGTACATTCGATGGATGCCAGTTTTGTATTGCTAAACGAATTGTATGCTGTTTAAATGGAAATGGGAATCGGGTGGATTGGATGGAGTGATGGAGAACTTCTCTAGAAAGAGCTTCATTGAATTGTGTGGATAATATGGTAGGGAAACGGCTTTCTTGAGTGGACACAAATGTATCCCATGGTAGATATAAATTCCCATTGTATATTATGATGAGGATGAGGGCGATGAAAGAGCCATCGCATGGGGAATATGGATGGAAATGGAGCAAGAAAATATGAGCATTCCATCCCATGGTGTATAAATATACATAGTATCTAAAAGGTGCTGTGGCACACTCTCTCCCCCCTTGCCATTTCCCTATCATACATACGATATACCCTCATGAACATTCACTTGCCATCTCATGCATACATACTTATGTACATCATTCGTGGCGGCTGTTTATTGTTCAAGAACTTTGACCCTAACCTACACACACAAGCACACATGATAGTGGTATTTCGTATATTCTATGGGAAGAAGAAACCTGTCAAAAGTTATCGAAAGAGACACAACGATGACACATGAAGACAGAAGCAAGTGGAAGTGGAGGTGGAGATGGAGGCGGAGGTTGGAGTCGAATCAAAACTCAAATAAGGCACAAAAGCTCCCGCTCCACCCTCTACCAGCTAGGTGTCGCTGGTCCCAACCCCTTCTCTCTAGTTGTTTTATCTGTTTGCATTTCAAAGACGGTGTACACTTCATAACTCAATGTTCTGGCTGCTCTTGTTGCTGCTGTTGTTCGAACAACCCATTGAACATGTGAACGATTGCGTCATGTGCCGAAATTGATATGCGAATGCGAAGAGGAACAACAAAAGCAGCGACGCGTCGCGACGACTATCTTCTACAACTGGAACAAGAACAAGAACAGAACACACAAACCAGCACCAGCAAGCAGTAACAGCACCAGCAAGCAGTTACAAGCAGAAACAAGTTTTCCCAAATGAACAACAAGAACAAGCAGTGGACGTACGGGATACCCTTTAAGCTAAGCAGTACTATACCCAGGCAGATGGTCGCTGCCGCATGTCGCCATAAGCAAGCAATACTAATTGCAGTAGGTACGGGCTATATACATGCATACATATGTACACAGGTAGTACTAGTATTTGAACAAGGAACAAGGAAAGGTGGAAAGTTCATACATATATATTCTTAAGATGTTGGGAAACTAACGCATAACTGGGCTATACACAGTCTTTCATATAATTCTTTGCAGACTCTTTGGACTATCTTCCAATTGTAGAATTTGTTTGGAAACCATTCTTGAATTTTTTGAATGTGCTTTGTATTTTATTTACTCAATTATTGGTCTCAATATCTCATCAATCCGACTGAATGAGCCGATTGGTAGCTATAGCTAGTAGATTTTTCATCTAATGCCTGAATCTCAATCTCCTCTCATCACATATGCTTGCTTAATCCAAGAGTATAGGGTACTAAAGAAGTAACTTTTGTATTTGGCTTTTGAGAAGAGCAAAGGTTGTTGAATCGAAGTAAAAGGGAGGCCGTTGGCTGGAGGGAGGGCGGTGGGGGCTAGGGGGCAAGCGGATTTAACGCTAACTCGTAAACTCCATTTTCGAGTGCTCCGAACAAATTGAACAACTAAAAAAAATGGGAAATTAAAAGAGAAATAAAAACTTGTTGCCATTAAGAAGAAGTGAGAGGGAGCAAAGAAGAAGCTGGAGAAGAAGACCAGCAAAAGGGAAGCAGTGGCAGCGGGCAGCATCGTCGGCAGAGACGGCGCGCGTCAGCAGCAATGATGAGCGCATACAAAAATGAACCGCCAACGCGCGCCTCCCTCCCACCCACCACTCCTACCGCAGCAGCAGCGACGCCGGCAGCGCAGCGGCTTTTCAATTAGTTTTGGGCATACAAACACACACACACACACACAGAGAGAGAGAGAGAGAGAGAGAGAGAGAGAGGAAGAACGACGTCACAGCGGGCCAAAGCTTAAATAAGAGAGTGAAAATTAATTTAACAAATTATACGACTCTCTTCTCTCAAGCCCCACCCGCGCAAACGTGTCCCAACAACAGCAAGAAATATTCCAACAATTTTTGGTTTACTTTTTGCACTTGAAAATCGAAATCAAAAATGAAATAAACAGCAGGAGAGGAGAATTCCTCTCCTCAGAAACTGCAATGCGAGGATGATTTGTGGTCATAAATACCCCTTGGCATGAGGGGGGCATAATGATTCTGATCAGATGTTTCCAATAAAAACAGAGAGGCTCTATAGAGTGTGCATATTGTGCATATTCCAGGTCTCCGGATTTTAAAAGGATCAACCCAAATTACGTTTCTGTTTTAGAATGTGTCGGTCCAAAATCCCCTTCATGGATTAAAATCTTTGCATTAGTTAAATAAAATCCAAAACAAGAGCCCCAGATATACATATTTCCATAACTAAGCGAAATTTAAAAATCTGGTTTTTGTTCGGAAAGCTTTTATGGTTCTGAAACCGCTCTCATTTGATGTGTGTTATGGCAAACACATAGGAACAATGGGTATCAACAGCTTCGGAGCTCCTATTCCTTTGATTTTGTTTTTGTTGTTGCTGTTGTTGTTGGGCGGGATTGGGGGTTGCAGGGGAATGGCATTTCATTTTATAATTTCAAAATATATACACCACACACACCCATTCGCACACTGTGTATTGTATAATATATAAATAACAAAACGGCGCAGCGGCTAAAGCTAATTTATGTACAAACAAGGCGCTGTTTTAACATACACACTAGCACAGTGGGACAAACGGGCAGAGTATTTTAATTGCGTTTAGCAGTGGGACCCAGGGTGCGGGGCGGTGTCGCTCTCTCTCTGTCTCTCTCTCGCTCTCTCGGCATAGTTCTTCCGCTCTCTACATCTCCCTCTCTCTGTGTGTATTATTTTTTGCGATGAACTCACTTTGCGCATCCAACCCACTGTCGTGTGGAGGGGGAACCAACAATTACACAAATACTGCCGCTACGTACGACTGTGTCCGTTTGTTTGTGTGTCTGTTTGTGCACGAATTACTTTCGAATCGTACAATTTTTGTTGCTGTTTAAATTACTTTTGTCTTTTCGATATTGTTTCTTTGGTTTTGGACTTAATCAACACTGCGGCATACTGCTACTGCTTATACCACCACCACAACCACCCATTCCACCAACCACTTGCACTTGCGTGTGTGCCACTCTCTCGCTACCTCAGGCCCGACACTCTCTTCACACTCCCCCAATACAGAGACTCTCTTCGCACTCTACCTCAACGAACACTCTCTGAAACTCTTCCACTCCCACTCCCCCCTTAATCAAACTGTTTTGAGAGTGTATGTGTGTGTGTCCCTCTTTGGCACGCACGATTGGTTTTCAAGCAGAAATAGCAAGGCAGCCCTCTATCGTTTTCGTTCTTCGTTTCCCTCTTTTGCACTGTCACCAACTGTCAAATCTTGCATTTGTTATAAACCAATTTCCACGCACTTGACAGGTGAGGGGATGCTCCAAGCTGCTCCTCCAACTGGGTAGGAAAGGGCACGAGCACGGGACGACACAAGATTCTACGCGCGTTTTACGTACGTGTGATGTTCCTCTCGCGACGGCGTAAAAAAAAAACAGTTCGTAGAGGAAGACGATTCCCGCACACGAGTTTTGTTGTTGGCTGCTGCTTTGCTTTGCTTTGCTGCTGGTGCTGGTCTGCGACTAAGCGGAATGCCTGCCTGTTTGGCGATGCTTGCTGCTAAAAAGTAAAAGATACAAAAAACTCACACATAGACGCGAGCGTGAGCGCATGAATGTTTGCAGGAGCGCGAACGAGCAGCACACCAACAGAGAGAGGCGGCAGAGTGCTGAGAGAGAATTGGAGTGCGACCTATCACATGCTATATGGACAGTGAGGTATGGCAGTCGCACTCTGTAGAGTACATTTTTTTTTTGATACGTTTTCTTTATATCACGCGACGGTGGTCGCGCACTATTTTGAAAAATAATCCTGTAATCGCTCTCAGAACGCCTGCCCTGCCAGCTGACAGCCCTTGGAGCGAACATGCACGGTGACAAGGCATATTTATAAAAGGTGGAGTGATTTGCCACACTCTTTCACGCTCTGCACGACCAACTATACATGGAACTATCTT